CACTCCCCCCACCTACAATCCCTGCCGGTACGAGACTCGAACCCACAGCCTTTGGGTTATGAGTCCGACTCTCTAACCATTAGGCCACGACTTCCCCATATATATGTTTATGTGTATGTATTAGTGCTGTCAAACGATTAATCGCATCCAAAATAAGTTTGTGTGTACTGTGTATTTATTATCTACATATAAATACACATGCATGTACATATTTAAGAAAAAAATTCTATTAAATTTATATATATAAAATAAATTATATAAATCTATACATGTAAATATTTTAAAAATACACACTGTGTATTTATATATACATAATAAATATACACCGTACACACATTACATAAAAAAAAAACTTTTATTTTGGATGCGATTAATTGTTTGACATCACTAATATATGTACTTTTTTCTTTCTTTTTTTTGCTGCATGTCCTATCTCAAAAGATAAGGGAAGATTTGTCTAGTGACTTGATCACATGACTACAATGCACCAGAGTGCAACCCTGCTTGAGTTTGGAGTAAAATATATCTTTTCTCAAATAAAAATTGTACAATTTACCAATTTTGAGACTTATTTAATAGTTGACTTGGACACATGCGTCTGACCCTTTGCCGATCTGTGCGTTAGATGTCATAAGCATACCTTCATTCTGGTGTGAGACACTTTTACAGTGGCCACTATGGAGAATTCTGCAGGGAAGAGAGGGCAGTTAATGAAGAGCTGAGACGATGGAAAGGTGAGTGCCTGCGTAGGACTGAAGAACTGGACCCCACGAGCGCCTCCCTCCTGCACCATACGGACCCCAGACAGAGCCTCTCCGTTATGGGGCAGCACCCGAGACAACAGGTCCACTGGACGGAGATCTGGAGAGAGAGAGAAGAGAGAGAGGAGTTGAGGAAACATGAAATTGAGGACCCCATGCGGGAAACAAGGTTTAGCATTAGCACATGGTCCAGTTAGCCCCTCCAAACAATCAGCTTTGTCAGGACATTATTTTCCTTGTGGTTGTAATTATGATTTTATTTCTCAGGTGATTGACTCTAAAACTTCTGTGCCTAGAATTGAGTGGCCATTAGCGAAGATGGGAGCAAGAAGTTTGCATACTTCCGAGTTTGTCTGCGCCAACTGAATAACATGCCATTCAAAATGGGAACACTAATGGATGGATTTCTCCAGGTATTGCAGACTACCTTAATTCCATTAAGTTTGACAACCAGTAAGTGTCCAAAATTATTTTGTGTTCATTTTGACCATAGAAAATAAATCTCTTTTTGAAATGGCATGAATGTGCCATCATTCTTTAAAATAAATAGCATTAGATTTTATGCATTATGTAAATGCTATTTACATTTATGTGTTTGGCAGGCGTTTTTTGCTTTTATTTAGTGACTTACATTGCATTTAAGGTACACATTTGATCACTTCTTGTTTTCCCATGACCTTGGCACTGCTATCAGTTTAAACTACATGAAGGCTATGAAATCCATTCATGTGGCTTATGAATCTGAATACTTTTGGTGGCCATTGTATTTTTGCATCTGCAGATGAGAATAGCTCTTGATATAGTTTATCTCCCAAAGTATGCAAATTGCCTTCCATGCAGAATATACAGAGAAAAGGGGGGGAGCCGGAATATTACTATATACTGAGCTACGGGCGTCCCAAGTTCGAATCCCAACTCAAGGACCCCCCCCCCCCACTTCGCTTCCTGTCA